GTGTCCAGATGTGCAAAGTCACATCTGGTGTCAAAAGTAGCAAATGCATCATCTCACTTCTAATAATGATTGGCCCTGGACCTTTTGCTTCCTCAAGCAAAGGGCAAAATGATGACTCTCTCATTTGGTAAACAGAAACTGGCCAGACAGAACAATTCAACCTTACATCAACATTGGTTGAAAGTCTCTTCCAAGTGATGGTTGTTGTGGGTTTTTCGGGCTCTTTGGCCATGTTCTGAATATTGTTCTTCCTAATGTTTCATCAGTCTCTGTGGCCAGCAGCTTCAGAGGACAGCATCCTCTACTCTCAGGTTGAAGATGCCGGCCACAGAGACTGGCGAAACGTCAGGAAGAACAACCTTCAGAACACAGCCAAAGAGCCCGAAAAACCAGAACAACCATTAGATCCCGGCCGTGAAAGCCTTCGTGAATATAAAAAGAAACTGTTCAAAGTGTAAACTAGTTTTTCTACCACCCAAATGGATATTCTCACTTGAACAACCAGATGCTATTTTTAGATCTAATTCTCATTACCCTGACGCTCCATTGGTTCCCCTACCTTCTCATGATGTTTTCTGTACCAGCAGACAAACAAGCCAAGGTTAATAGGTACAGTGTTAATTCCTTTTTGCTACAGGTGTTGTTCAAGGTCACAGTGGTGATCTTTTGTATCTGGCTATCCTCAAAATACAGTGTCCTATCGCATATGGAACTTTTCAATTTGAAAGCAGGGAAATGTGTAAATCAGAAATTGGGATATCACAATTCACCCTCTCTTAACCCATTCTAAGTCGACAAAAAGTCTAATAAAATAAATAAGTAGTTTTTAATTGATGTTCAAAGCAAGCATGGGATTTGATTCTTTTTAAGCAACATTTTTCTGATGCCTTTTGAATACAAGCACTTGTGTGTGTTTTAAAGAAAAAATATTTTAAAATAAAGTATAATAGATCCCAATTTTAGAATACCATATTGTGGCAGAATTTCTCAAAACTCCCATGGCAGAGAAATGAGAAAAAACTTTTTTGGTAAGTATAATCGAAAGCCGAACTTGCTCCTAAAGTGAAAAAGAGTAAGGAATAAATATCTATCCTTTCCCACTCCTGAGTATCTATTTCCTAATAAGAATGAGGCAAAACAGGGAAATAGACTGATGCAACAAAGCCAGAAGCATTTGCCTTTTCTGATGCAAGTAATTATATGGTGTCAACATTAAGATCAATATATTGATAGCCGTCTATGTTAGTGGGTTGGATTAGCAGGAAAGTTTAATTATTGAATAATAGGCAAAACAAGAGAAAAACAAAAATTAAGACAAAAACATGGCACCTTAAAGACTTACTGCTAAATTTTAATGTGAGGTTTCTCAGGCAAGTCCACTTCCTCAGACATAAGAGTAGGCCGCACCCGCAAGTCCACTTCCTCAGACATAAGAGTAGCCCGCACCCTAAGGTGCCGCAACATTTTTGTCTTTTTTATTTTTCTCTTGTTTTTGCTTGATATATTAGTATAGACTAAGATGACTACCTCTTCTAAAAGTAATGACTGAATACATTTATTTTTCAAGGAATCTACTTCTTCACTTATGGTACAACACTGAGCCCTGACACAATGTGAAAGTTACTTCAAAAGAATCTGCCCTTCAAGAGCCATTTATTAATAACTGAGCACACAGAGAACCATATAGAGTACTACTACAGCAACAGAATCAAGACTGTGGCTTCTTACATCTCCTCCTGGAAAGTTTTATTATTGCCTGGAATGAGAAAAACACAATTCTTGGCAGGAATGTGGGTGAATAATTAACACACAGTCTGCATGAAACAGTTTGTCTAATGTACACATATTAGGTTTCACAGAATGAGGTAACTAAAATATAGCTTGTTCGTGTTGATTATTATGATTAATGTCATATATCTTCAATCACTAGATGACATCCTTTCCTAATCATCAGAGAGGAAGCTGAAGTTAAGCCTGGTGTACTCATTTCTTAGGATACATCTTGGCAGTTATGCTTGGACCAGAGACACAACATAGTATGCTGCTCAGTGTACAGTCTCCAAACTCTTCAAAGCATTATGAGAGGGAAAGAATGAGTGGCAAGCTCTTAATGCCTGTAAGAGAGGCAGTGAGGAGAAGAGAACCACCGGGAGAGACGTTGAACAACTGCCAAGGTGGAGGGACAGAAAACCCACCAAGAAAGCACAGTGGGGAAGAGAAGGGGGGGGGAGACCAGAGGGAAATTAAAAACAAACAAACAAACACCAGCATTAATAAGGGCAGAGGAGTACTGGGTGAGTAAGGAAGAGAAACAGCACTTCTGTCTGGGGAGCAGATGGATAGATGAGAGAGGAGGAAGAATACTTGGGCCAGTAAATGTGTGTGGTTGCATACGGGGAGAGAAAAAGCACCAGCACTAAGTTTCTAAGGTGAACCATTCTGGGTGTCTCCATTAGTAATAGGTAAGTAAGTAAGTCTGAATGCTTTCTCAAATGTACAGTATTTACAAGACCCATCTCACATGTAATCTCCTTCCCCCTTTCTTCGTACTGTATTTGTAACATGGACTTACCAAATGAAACCTGTTGAGAAGTGTGCTGGTTTCTTAAGGGTGTGCTGAGGTGCAGGATTTTGTACTATTCCCTGCCTCTTGTAGCTCCACACCCAGTTACTGACGAATTCTGTTACTATGGTTAAGTTAGTATTATCTCTCAAACTCTTACAACTCATTGCGGTATCATTATAGCACTATTTCCTGGTTACCTGGTTGTTTACAAAGGTAGCTGGGTTTGCTCTTTTCTTACTGTGTTAAAAGGTAACAGCCATTTTCATTAGTTTCTAAGTATGTTTGTTCTCAAAATAATGCTTTCGTCTGGGGAAAAGGGATTTTACCTTGACATTTTGATTCTATTTTTTAAAATACTGTGTATACATAATCACTAACCACTCAATTTGAAATACATGATCAGGGGCCACAAAACAATTGCATTTAAATTTGAAGCAATGCCTACTTTACCCCATTTTTTAAAAATCATATACAGTAATACACACACACATGCCAGATATCAGAGAAAAAATGTCTTACCTCTTTGACCTCAGTGTAAGCACGAAGTGGATGGCCATTCAGGCCTGCCTGCAGATCAGCTTCCTGCTTGCAGACAGCCATGACAATGAGAATAAGTGTATGCTAGCATACCAAAGACCTGTGTTTGAATCTTTGCACAGCCACAGAAACTCACAGTAGGGTTAAGTGTTTGTAAAGATGAGCATGGAAGTGTCATCTTATTGCAAAGTTATACCTGCTGGAACCACCACCAGCATTTTTAAATATTTAAGATCAAAATTTAAAAAAAGGGGGGGGGAATTGAGACTCCAGCACACAGGAGACTGGTCAGAAGAACTATCAACAACTTGCTTCAAATGCCAGAGGCAGGGAAAAGACCAACCATGTTAGTAGCAAAAGACAATCATAATGCCTCCTCCCACTGATACTGTGTTGGCGCATGCAAGATTGCTATTGTCCCAATAAAAGCAATGCCTTTTGGTGTGAGTTTCCTAACAGAATAAATTTGTCATACTGAAGGTACATTCTTGCAAAAAAGAGCCACTGCTATAGTGTGAGAGAAGTAAAGACTATTTGGAGTTAGAGTTGCCAGGTCAGAAGTATCAGATTCCTCTAATACTTAGGGTGAAAAACTCTGACAAGTGGTGCACCTGATATCGTAGAGATGGAACGGACAAGGGGCTAGAGGGGTCCAGAAGTTTTTCTGTGAAAGCTAATTATGGAAATAGGCTTGACTGTAACTCAAGTAAATTGGCTCAGAAACTTCATCCTGTCTCCTGGTACTCCTTTAGGCACAAAAGGCAAAATTAGGAGCCAACAGATGCCAACCACCAGGAAAATGTGCATACAATGTAAGTACAGTACAGTACATCTTTCCCCATCCAGCCTCTGAGTACAGTACACAACTCAAATGTCAAAATACTCAAGAATCCCTGGACATCTTGTGAAATGAGAATTAGTCGGACAAAACACATGAACGCTCTCAGCTGAGAGCCAAGTTCTAATTTTCAGCCTCGAAGAGTTAAAAATCATATTGTAGTAAGCAGGCGGTCACCCCTTTATTACAGCGCACCGATGTTTGAACGTAGAAAGGTGGAAATGTTACATGGAGAAATCCCTTTTTTGCCTTCCCTTTTCAGTCACAGACTCGCTTTCAGTAAGAATAGCTAGAAGCCTCTCTTTACAGACCTTAAAGATTAGCGATTTTAATACAGCAGATGCTTTCAGGGACGAAAACAACGTGGACATAAGCAAGGTCACCGTTTAACAGAAGGGAAAACAACCAGGAGACACGATGCAAGGGGACCACAACCTATTCCGAGTCCCGACGTCGAAGCAGTTTAATAACTTCCTCGGTCGACCCTCCAAGCCAAAATAACTTTCTTTCGCTTTCTCCGGTTATTGTTAGCCAGACACTTTCGTCATGCGTAAAAAGGCCTTTCTTGCCTCCTACGGGAAACAGTTTTTAAAAAAGAGAGAGATGGGACAAGTTACCCTGTTTGGACTGCAATTCCCAGCATACTCCAGCCAGCATGCCGCTGTTGGGAGTTGCACTCCAAGATGGTTAGTTTTTCCTCCCCAATCAGAAGCAGGACGCCCCAAATTAAAACGAAGCAAACTTTGCATTCAATTTCAAATATAGAAATATTCCTATAAATAAACTGGGTGGAAAAACGAAACTTCTAGTCTAAGAATAAGAAAACTAAGCGTCAGAAACTACATATCCCACAATGCCCTTCTTTAAAAAAAACCATTGCTAATATGAAAGCCGCCGCCGCCGCCGCCGCCACCACTCCCTTAAGCGATTGGCTACTATTTCGGAACTTTCGCGCGGTTTAGAGCCGGCAGTGGAAGCACTGAACGGTTTTATTGGTCGGTGATCTCCAGCTAGACCAATGGGAAGGGAGAGTTGGAGGAAAGGGGCGGAGGAATCTTCCTATCTGGCTCGCGAGTTTGGCGGGAAAAAGTAGCCGGTCTTTTTTTTTTCGCGCCAAGCGAAGGTTCCGGGAAGGCCGAGCCTGAGCAGGCTGTCCGCGAGCGTGTTGGTGTGGAACCCGTGGCCATGGCAGCCCCCGCGGCAGCGACGTTGGACGATGCGGAATTGCGAGAAGCTCAGAGAGACTACTTGGATTTCTTGGACGACGAGGTGAGTGAGACCTCGGGGGTTCCTCCTCCTCCTCCTCCTCCTTCTCTTGAAGCTCGGGAAGGTGCCCAGGAAGAGTCGCAAGCAATTGTTTCTCTTGGGCAGGAAAGCCCCCCCCACTCAGTCCTGGAGTGGTGGAGTCGGGGGTTCATAAAGAGAAGTGCCGCGGAGTGGGTCAGAAGGGGTCGTATCCAGACCCCCGTGAACCCCGGCACGTCCCATTTTTTGTTTGGGGGCGCGCTGCTTTCTGATTTTAGAGAATAGTAGATCCTCTCTTTAGTCATCCTGATGAGTGAGGTTCAGTCTCGTGATAACTGCCGAGCGTAGGAACAGCTTGAATTGTAATGCCGTATATCGTACAATAAAAGTTGGATATAACCGTTTGCCCATCTCTTGTTCCGGTTGAGAAGGGTTGGCTCCGGAAAGTAGCCTCAGATCAGTGAGGATTGCAATGTTAGGATTTGTTGTCATAGGTCGTCAAGCCAGAGCAGCGTCCCCAAGAGGACTTTCAAGGCAAGTTTAGGGGTTGATTTTAAACAACTCCACGCCCTCACGGAGCTGCCACGATTCAGCGGGGATTTGAACCCAGGCCTCCACTCTGACCGCTACACCAGTGGCCCCAGGCCTCCACTCTGACCGCTACACCAATGGCCCCCAACCTTGGGCCCCAGATGTTCTTGAACTTCGTCCTAGAAATCCTGGCCAGCAGAGGAGGTGGTGGTGAAGGCTTCTGGGAGTTGCAGAAGCCTTCACACTGCGCTACACAACACACTGGGGATAGAGAGGCTCATTCACCCTAACTTTGTGCTTGTTTCTGACCTCCATAAAGGCAGCGACTAATGTAAAGCAAATTCTGTGGCTAAAGGCATAATGAATGGAAGAAGATATTTTCATACTGTTCTGCAACTTGTAATGTGAAATACTAAATTTTTGCAATTCAGTGCTTCAACCTTCACCAGGAACTAAAGGTGTGCTTTGCTCTTAATACATACTCTCCCGTACAAATTGGCATGAGTAGGAAATGAACACAATTTTCCTGGGAGCCAATGTACCGCTTTATATGGTGTGCTTTGCTCTTAATACATACTCTCCTGTACAAATTGGCATGAGTAGGAAATGAATGCAATTTTCCTGGGAGCCAATGTGCTGCTTTATATTGCTCTAGACAAACAAGGCTGCTTCATTTTATCCCTTTTTGGTGCTGTATTGGCTCTTCTCATTTGATAGTTAAGCTTGTAGCAACTGAGAAACAACAGAACTCTTTCCCTTTTTTATTGGAGAGGGAGAGAAAGTTAGACAGACATATTAGAATGATCCTTTTCGTGATATGTGTCTTACAGAAACGATTTTTTTTTAGTACTGTATGGTGATAGGCACAACTTTACTGTGTTTCATGGACTTATTGCATTTACACAGTGAATTAAATTAACTCCTTGGAATAAATGTAGATACACTTCATGCTATAAAGTGTTCAAATTCATAGTTCAGTTTTTTAGTGATGTTATTTATGAGATGATGAATGGGAAACCATTTCTGAGTATTCTGTATCTGGAAAACCCTGAGAAGGATTGCCATAAGTCATAATTGATTTGATGGAATATCATCATCATTGTTATACATACTATAAAAAAGCTGTGAATGACAGGGAGTTTTCAAATGCAGATGCTCTGCTAGTCATGAGAATGAATGATAGATACAGTATGGTGCTATAGCTTAGTTTTCAATTTGCAGTCAGGGAGTTTTGATCAGATAGACCTGGGAATGTTTCCAGATGCAGAAGCTGAATCTGTATTGAAGCTGAGAAGCATTACAATTCATCATAAAGCGAGCATGTTCCTTGGGCTATGGTGCACATGTGTTGTGTAGATGTTTTGATTTGTAGAAAAGCAACTCAAATAGATTAAGTGGTCCAGCAAGACGTCCTCCTCCATGCAGTTAGGTATTGGGTGTTGGAGAGTTTGAGAACAACTGTTTTTTTCAAACATTGAAAAGATCTGAAAAAGGGACAGGTTTGCTAATTTGAGGCTCATTCAATACTGTATATTGGTCTCTTGGAGCAATTCCTTTCAGACAAGCTAGCTGGAAATTTTTCTGTATTATAATGGCACTATCAAATTGCTCTCTGGTTCATGTTTCTTGAGATGCACACATAATCATTTTGGTTAATACTGCCTTCTATTGCAGGAGGATCGGGGAATTTACCAAAGTAAAGTCCGTGAAATGATTAGTGACAATCAATACCGTTTGATTGTGAATATTAATGACCTCCGACAAAAAAATGAGAAAAGAGCCAGCCGGTAAGTCTTTTGAACTGAGTTAGCCTGCATATGTTAACAATATTTTTATTATGCTTCTACTCTATCCTCTGGCCCTTATTAGCAGACAGAATAATTGTCTTATTCAATCAAATAATTTTCTAGGGCTTTTAAATATTTATAAAATGTCTGAAGACAGTTGTAACCATTTTGGTTATCATTACCACCGTCATAAGCTTCTTGAACTCCAAGACATTCAAGACAGTGAATCTACTTGAATGTGCAGCTGTTGCATAAGTAGTTGTACTGTATGCTGTCAGTACTGTAGCATTAAATATGCATTAATAGAAATGCAGTGCTCTAAGATGTTGAGCGTTCCACCATACACATAAGACTAACACATAAAGGTGACAATGAATTGCACACTACCAGCTGAAGAGTTCTTTGAATAGACTGAAGGCTCTGATAAATTAGCAGTGAGTGGATTTCTCCTACCCAGGAAAGATTTTTCCTTTTAAAGAGTTCCATTAAAGGTATAATTTCAACACTCATGATATAAGAAAGGATTGAGGGAATACATTTCCCATGTTCCTATATTACTCCCAGCTATATGTAGGTTGATAAAGTTTCTCAACAAGTAGATAGCTGATTAGGGTAATTTGGGTGCATAGTCAATAAAATGGGCCACCCAAGTAGCATCTGTAGCAGTTAACCTATAATGCTGTAATACTGGTCAACAATGCAGATTCTAATGCAGAGATTTCCCAGGTTTTTGATACCACAGCTCTCTTTTTACGTTTGAGAAATCTTCATGCTTCCTCACCTTTCCCTTGCTGTCTGTTCTAGTTACTTTGTAACAACATTTTAAATTGACAGTTTAAAGGAAAATGCCAAAACTTAATAGGAACATAAAACATTCCTTGTGGGTGTTTATTGGCTAGTAGTAATATATGCAGATAAATACTTTATGTATACTGTACAAACAGTCACTGTGAAACTACTTAGAAATGTTTTCTCTAGGTGGAACTCTAGAATAGGGATGAGATTTTCAGAAATGAAGGACTGGGATGGGGGAAGCCCTGAAATTGGCAGGAGGTAGAGTGGCCCTCTCACCTGCATGTTAACCCTGTGCCACTTCCTTGAATTGTTGGAAGCGTGTACTGTGGTCCGGGCATGGACCGTTTCTGACAGCAAGGTTTTTCCTCTTTGTTCTAGTCTGCTCAACAGTGCTTTTGAGGAGATGGTGGCCTTCCAGCGTGCCCTGAAGGACTTTGTTGCTTCCATTGATGCCACATATTCCAAGCAGTATGAAGATTTTTACATCGGGCTTGAGGGCAGCTTTGGATCCAAACATGTCACACCCCGGACGTTGACATCCCAGTTTCTTAGCTGCATTGTCTGTGTGGAGGGTATTGTTACAAAATGTGAGTGGAAGGGGGGCGGCCTGGAAAGCTAAGTAAAAACTGAAATGCGACCTTTGTTACTCAGCAAGTGGGAGCAGGATAGGTGCTGAGTCAAATTATAGCCTTCCCTTAAATGGCTTTATATCCTCCATGTTAGTCTTCATCGATGCAGGAGTTAACACAAAGGTACATCCTTCTGAGGTAGAGCATGAGCAATCCTAGAGCCTTCCAGGAAGCAGACATTTTTTTCAAAGCGTTTTGCTTCTTGCACTTTCTTCAATGGAGTCTCGACTTACGTTCAGCTCCATTTACGAACTTTTTGACCTGCTGCAAAGTTTCACTTCGAATTGCGGCCAGAGAATCGACCTACGGACCAGAAGGGTGAGGCGGGGAAAGCGCCAAATTCAAATTTGGCACTTTCTCCGCTTTCCCCTTCCAGTCCATAGGCTGCAGGTCTAAGCCCCGAAAGCCCAAAACTGACAGCAGGCGCAGGGTGGCTTTCGGCTTCCAAAGCTGCCAGCAGGGGGAAGGCGGGGAAAGCTGAAAGCTGCTCTGCATCCGATATCAGCTTTGGGCTTTCAGGGCTTAGAAAGCTGGACCCACTGGCCTCTTGTCTCCTGTCCCCGGTGCCCTCTGCCTCCTCCCTCTGCCTTCTGTCCCCACTGTCCTCTGCCTCCCATCCCTGTGGGGCAGGAGGCAGAGGGCACCGGGAACAGGAGACGAGGCCAGTGGGTCCATCTTTCTAAGCCTCGAAAGCTGACAGCGGGCGCAGGGCGGCTTTAAGCTTCCAAAGCTGCCAGCGAGGGGAGGCGGGAAAAGCCGAAAGCCGCTCTGTGCCTGATGTTAGCTTTGGGCTTTCAGGGCTTAGAAAGCTGGACCCACTGGCCTCTTGTCTCCTGTCCCCGGTGCCCTCTGCCTCCTGTCCCCGCAGGGATGGAAGGCAGAGGGCAGCGGGGACAGAGGGCAGCGGGTGCAACTTTGGAAGCCCCAGATTTTTTTTTCTCAGGCTGGAACGAATTAAATGATTTTCAGTGCATTCCTATGGGAAATGGACCCTCAACCTACGGAATTTTCGACCTCTGGCCACAGTTCCAATATGGATTAATTCCGTAAGTCGAGGATCCACTGTATCAGAGACCGTGATTAGACTCTGTAATAAAGAGGGCAATGATGTTGACAATGTTAAGTATTGCACACTCAGAATAAGAATGCTGTTAACATGTGGTGCAAATGTTGATTTTTGATAGGGAGCAAGGAACCATTTTACGTCACTGCTTGTCTTTTGTTCAGAAGCTCAGGCCCCATTACAATTCAGAATCATAAGCTCTAGTCCTTTGCATACTTGCTTCGATATAAATTTAATTAAGCTTAATGGGATTTGTGATTTAAGAGAACGTGAATAGAATGGACATATTACTGTGACTGTAGAAAGGTTGTACTCTGAAATCAGATTGTACAGTTAAGCCTGGAAACGTCTGAAGTGAACATGGTGTTTCAAACAACCTTTACCATTTTGAAAGGCACTTGTCCAAAATAGAATTCTCTTTATTTCCATCCCAACCTAGGTTCTTTGGTACGCCCTAAAATAGTCCGCAGTGTGCATTACTGCCCTGCTACCAAGAAAACTATTGAGCGCCGGTATACAGATATGACCTCCCTGGAAGCTTTTCCGTCTACAGCTGTTTATCCCACCAAGGTGAGTGAAGGGCATTCAGTTTCTCGGCTTATTCTTATAAACAGGAAAGGAATTCTTCAGAGCATCTTGTATTCAATTGTTCTTAATGAGTGGTCCTCTTTTTGCTCCCCTTGGATAACTCTGTAAGAGGGTGCTTCATTCTTGTCAGCTGATAGAAACTAGGGCTACTATCCTATTACAGATCCCAGGTAGAATAATCCTATTGAGTCAGTGGGGTTTACGTAAATGTTATCTTCCGTTCAGCAATGGCTGTGCTGATCTGTCTGTCTTTCGAAAATAAGCCAGTATCCTCTTGTATCTAGGCCAAAGGATAATGGCTAAAATTTATTGATTTGGAAAAGTATGATGTAAATAGCTTAGTAACAGGGTAATATATAAGTAGCAAATGCAACTAAGTAGATGTATATAAGTTGAACCCTTGGAGTTCCTAAAAAGTCCTCATCAGGGCACAGAGGGAACTCTGGGCTCTTGAGGCTATGCTGGCAGTGCATAAAGCTGGAACACAGTTCCTGAACTGAACAATGGTAGATGATTGTAGAATTCTGCCAGCCAAGATAACTATTGAATAGTCACTGATTATTATTATTATTATTTTAAAAAGCTTTACTCTTCATCATGAAACAAATGTACACCACATAAGCTAGTCTTTTGAAGAATACCATAATTGGTTGAGCACTATTTCAGTATTTTATTCTGGTTTTAACTGATATTTTCTTTTCTAAGCTATATTTTACTAGCTTTTTTGAACACCATTTTAGCAGAAAGGGGAAATATAAATTAATTTGGAAAACTTCAGTTCCTGCTTCCTTAAATATTTTGGTGACTTGGTAGTAGTTCTAGTAAGCATTTAAAATGCCAGCCTCTGCTAGAATGGCTTGCACATGTACAGAAGACAGACCATATTGTTCTGGAAAGCTAAGATGTGGAGAGCCAGAAGCTAAATATGATTAGTTTACAAATAACCTGGCTGAACAGCTATGTTTTTGGCAGGAGGGATTTCAGAGGCCCAGTATTTTTCTTTCCCAAGACTTAGAACTGCCAATTCAATCTGTGGCAGGACCCATGCTATGTGATGAGGAGATATGGGTGAAGCACCTGCTGCAGCAGATGCTCTGTGCAGTCTACAACAGTCAGCATATAGTGTCCTGTTTGTAACTTCTTTCACCTGACCTGTACAGATTAGCTAAAGCCATGGATGGAAATGCCTGGAACAGATGGCAGAAAGGGACTTAGAACTGCCAATTCAATCTGTGGCAGGACCCATGCTATGTGATGAGGAGATATGGGTGAAGCACCTGCTGCAGCAGATGCTCTGTGCAGTCTACAACAGTCAGCATATAGTGTCCTGTTTGTAACTTCTTTCACCTGACCTGTACAGATTAGCTAAAGCCATGGATGGAAATGCCTGGCACAGATGGCAGAAAGGGACTGTGTTTGTTTGTTTATTAGATTTCTACCCCGCCCCCCAGACAACGTCTACTTGGGGCGGCTTACAAATATCATAAAATATCATAAGATGTAATAAAAACATCATACACATTAAACAATTAAATCAATAATATGGTGTGTTCAAGATAGGGAATAATAAAAAACAAGGAGATAGAATTTAAGAATTGACAGATTTAATATGTTAAAGTCTTTTAGGAATCTATTTATGTGCACTGTATCTAATAAACCTGTTTTGTTAAAGTTTACATGAAGTATGGACCTCAATCTTTCTAAGTAAATATTGTTGACAATATTTACTTAGTGGTGGCAGCATAAAGGGAACATGGTGTGGGCCTTAGGTTAGTGGAATAATCTGGGTACATGCAAATGGCACAGCACACTTGTGCTCATCAAGGATTTTAATTTGGCTGAGAAACATTGCTGTTTCTAACGGAGTGGGATAGTTCTGGAGCATCTTTTCAGATTTCTTCCCTTTCCCCACAAAGCTTGAAACCTTTTTAAAATGGTTACGTTACTTATCTAGGATGAAGAGAATAACCCCCTTGAGACAGAATATGGCCTGTCTACCTACAAGGACCATCAAACTATCACAATCCAGGAGATGCCAGAGAAAGCTCCTGCTGGACAGCTCCCTCGTTCTGTGGACATCATTTTGGATGATGACCTGGTGGATGCCGTGAAGCCAGGGGACAGAGTGCAGGTCATTGGAACATTCCGTTGCCTGCCAGGAAAAAAAGGGGGCTACACGTCAGGGACATTCAGGTAAGCTGTCAGATACCGCAAGCCTGTTGTTGGCTTGGTGTTCTCATTTGCAAATGCTCAGCAAAGTTTACGACAGTAGTTTTTGCCACTTCGTGCCCTAGGGTCCTGGAATCCTCTGATAGCATCTGCCTGGTTTAGGTGGAGCACCTGTATTGTATCTTCCCACTGTTGCTAAAAAAATAAAAACCAGTGAAGATGTATTTTCTTTCTTTTTGTCCTGACTGTTTTAATCCTAAAGGTTCACAAAAAGTATTCTTAACAGAGCGTATCTGAAAGATACTGTTGGTATAGCAAAGTATGACAGGTATCTCTAACTCAGGCAGAAGGTGAAAATAAGAGTTGCAAGCCAACTTTGATTACAGAATTGAAATGTCTGGGTGAAAAAAAGAGATGGTGCCAGGTGAGATTCTCCACCAAGATGGTCCCTTACTAGAGCAAGCCCTACCACAAAGCTCCTCTCCCTGGGGATCACTCACCTCTCTCCATTTGGCAGGGAGGCTCACAGCAGGTCCATGTTCTTCCTGTAGAAGGCAGTCGAGTTCCAATGGTTAGAGGATGGAGAAGTAATTTTGTTCACTTGATACGGGTCATAGAATCGTAGAGTGAGGGAGTCAAGAAGGGTGGCATAATGTCACCAACAGATCACCTAGTTTTTAATGGATTTTATCCAGTGTTTCTATCTAGAAATCACTCTTCAGAAGGAGTGCCTGCAATTTTTTTTGCATTTTTCTTTAACAATTCATGTTGAATTTTGTATAGTTTTTTGTTTTGTTTTATGATGTATCATAGTGTTGCATTTGATAGTGAAAAAAAACTGTGATGTTCTGCTTTGAGCCAGTTGTATAATTACATGAATAAAAATAAAATAAATAAAGAGATATTGAAGAAGAAAATCTTAGATTGCAGTATTAACAAGAAATAACTTTGGGGTACTCATGTTAATAAGAATAAAAATGGAAGAAGAGAGCTTAAGTGGTTCAGATGGAATAAATTGAATTTGGAAAAGGATAATCTTTTCCTTTACCAGTTAAACAAGTATATGGATAAAACTAATATTTGAAGGAGAGAAAGCTGTCCTGAGATGGTATTCGTCAACTGGCATTTTTTATCTGTAAATGTTTTTAAAAATTGATTGTCTGGGTCTGCTGTGCTTGACTCAATCAGGTTTCTTAAAATGGAACCTGATTGTTATCTGAGAGAGCAAATGGATGTGGAGTACAGTTTAAAAGGCTTCCTGGGTCTTTTTGCCTTCTCCAGACCTCCCGCAGAAGGGAATGAGAAATTCATCAGCGACAATTTGAGAGGGCTTGTGGGTTCAGTGGTCTCTTACTGTGCTGAGGCTGAGTGCGTAACAGGGCAACAACAGGCAGTAACTGTGGCTGTCTTATGTGCTCCTCCAGGACCATTCTGATTGCTTGCCAAGTGAAACAAATGAACAAGGAGGTGCGGCCTGAATTTTCATCAAGTGATATTAACAAGATTAAAAAATTTAGCAAAAACCATCCAAAGGTAATGTGGCTGAGGATGTTTGTGACACTTTACTTGTGAACCCCCAGTTGGAATGTAGGAGCTTTTCGCATACATGGGTAGACACGTTCTCAGGTAGGCTCACTCTGGATATTAGCCAGGGGACAAGGATGGGCAAGCCCTGCCTAGGTGGGTCCCTCCACATGTTCTTCTAGCGTATAAAGTGGGAATCATGTGAGTTTGGATATTTAAAAGCATACACTGAAATTATTGCAACTATATGCATTAAAAAAAACAACTAAAGTGAAGTGGGCCTTGGGAAGCGTACTTTTAAAACCAGAGTTGCTAATGGTGGTGTTAAGGAGAAGGGGTGGTAAATGAAAAAAAAAGTACAGTATTATTAGATTTTAGCTCCTGTTTCTATTTACAAAGGTGGTTTTGGGCTGTAACTATATGCTGGCAGTTTAAAAATTAGAACAAGTGGAATTTGCAGCGACTGCTTTTGTTGCTCATGGGTCCTGCCCTATGGGCAGTTTAAAAATCGTGCCAATATTCAATGATTAAAACTGCACCAGGGCTTCTGTTGCCAGCTGGCCAGTGTTGGGAGACTTACCGGCTACGGATAGGGTCAGGGCAGCAGCTGAGGACCCTCATTGACTTGACACAATGGCAAAAACAGAGCCACTGGAGCTGTCCTTTGGCAAGAACAGTGTCACTACCTGGCCATTGCTGGGAAGCTTCCTGTCTACCTCAGCACTGGCCAGCTGGTGATATTGTTCCTGCCTGAAGGAGAGTTTTTCGCCACCAATCAAGTGGGTGAGAACTCTCATCTGCTGTCCCATGGTGGTGCTCTCAGAGTCCTAGTATTGGCAGCTGGAACTACATGCCCTGTTTTAAGGCAAGAAGCACCGGCTGTTTTTTATTGTTTTGTATTCATATCATTATTTAATTTAAACTATTCTATTCGGGAACTGCCTTGGAAATGTTGTTATACCTATTAATACTAAAATAATGCTATTGAGTTCTCTGGTAATGAGAAGTAGCAATGCCTTTTACCTTTTCAGCTCATGCTTAAATCACACTAGGTGTTGTTTGAATTTGAGCTTTAGTAAGACAGGACACTGCACACCATAATGGTTTAAACCTTCTTTGCTGCTTCTGCACACAAGTGCCAAAGGCTTTTGAAATGCTTTTCATTGCTATTTAATATTGCGCCTGACTGTGGATGCCCTGATTAATTATTGTTTCCTTCCTAGGATGTCTTTGATCAGCTTTCAAGGTCTCTGGCTCCTAGTATCCATGGACATGAATACATCAAGAAAGCAATTCTGTGCATGCTTTTGGGGGGAGTGGAGAAGGTGCTGGAGAACAAAAGTCGCATCAGAGGGGACATTAATATTCTGCTAATTGGTACGATTGGGTGGAGTGGGAGGACACTTGCTAGTCATTGTTCCAGCAGATAATAAAGAATATTATCCTATAATAAAGAAATACAAGTGGTGGGTGGCTTCTGTTATTTGGCAGCTCTTGCCCAGTAATCAGCAGATATCTGTTTTGTTTCAGGTGACCCTTCAGTTGCAAAATCTCAATTGCTACGTTACGTATTGTGTACAGCTCCCCGGGCCATTCCCACTACAGGCAGGGGTTCTTCTGGGGTTGGACTGACTGCAGCTGTCACAACAGATCAAGAAACGGGTAAGGAGTAGAATGGGTTGCAAGCGGAATGCCCACTGCAGTTGGAAAAGCAAACTGGTCACTAGTTCTCTAAAGCTGAGATGCTGTTTGTTCTTGGATGATTATGGTTGGGGACCTTGTGTGGCAGTGAGTTCAGAGCTCCCAGGACACAGAGAAGAGCAGAATTGCATCGGGGGGCTGAATTGCTATTTATGGTAAAATTGGCTAAACATCAGTGTGCTGGTTTAATGTTAATCACCCTTGGAGAGATGTTTAAATTTAGGTTAAACTCATCATTGAAAATATTGGCAATATGCCCACCTTTTGGCACTTGGTTCATTTCGAGCAGAACTGCTACTTCATTCCTGTTGGAAATGATCCAGTGGTGTTCCCAGAGTGGAAGGACCAGCCCTCAGGTTGCTGTGTTTGCCCAAGGGGTGTCTGAATGGGTCCATAGCCCTTACATCCTTTGGGGAGGCTCCTTCTGTGACCTCCTGAGGAGAGTTAAGACATCAGTAAAGTCACAGGGTTTCTATTTGTTGAATTCTAACAAATAAGCATTTCTATTCTGTCAAGGAGCTGCACAAAATCTTATTACATTTTATAGCTGGAAACCGTGTCTGTCTCCTCCTCACAAGCAGACCTCCGCAGGGCTCTCCTCCTGCTCTCCTCCAGCAGTCTTTGGATAATAGAGGGCTGGAGAGTAAGTCATACATTCCAGCGTGGAGAGCAACACTCGTGTTGTCGTGCATTGAATGATGAACGATGCTGGGGCTTCTTGTTGTCAGGGCTGGGGCTATAAGTACTACCATTAATGGGATTTGTGAACATCTGTATTATAGCCGTTCAGTAAGAAAGGCACAAGGCTGCTGTGTCCAAGTGTGTGTGTGTGTGTGGACACGCCCCTCTGTATTTATATATCCACCTATTGTCTCCTCCTGTTGGATGTTCTGTTTCCAGGAGAGCGTTGCCTGGAAGCGGGTGCCATGGTCTTGGCTGACCGTGGTGTGGTCTGCATTGATGAATTTGATAAGATGTCCGATATTGACCGCACAGCTATTCATGAGGTCATGGAGCAAGGCCGTGTTACCATTGCCAAAGCCGGCATTCAGGCCCAACTCAACGCTCGCTGCAGTGTTCTAGCAGCTGCCAATCCAGTGTATGGCAGGGTGAGTATTCTGAGCACCTGTTTCAGGTACACTTGGTAGTGCCGTTGGGGATGTTCCTGTGTGTGAGAGAGAAAAAAACAACAACACGAAACACAGATACAAATTAGGGGATGTGACTGCATCCCTGCTCTCAAGTGGGCTTTTAAAATTCCATTTTAGAAGGCTGTTCAGCCTATTAATATTCTGCTAAAATTCCATAACTATCCCCTACCTAGGCAGTACTCAGTTTCTAAATCACAATAGCCTTGTCAGCCTGGCTGAGGGCGTTCATCAGCATTAGCGGGCCCCCTCCCCATTTTAGTTGGAACAGTAGAGAAGCATAGGCCAAAAGTGCATAGAGACCTTTGCTGGGCTTTCCTCTATGCTCTCAGTATTTTTTTAAAAATACTATTTTTGTTTATTAATTAAATATACAGTATATCTTGCCTTTCCACTAAAAAGTAACACTCAACGATAACCTATTAAATGAATAAAAACAGATGAAGCGAAATTTGGCTAAAAATTATATGGCCAGCTCCACTGTGAGGCCATTGCAAGCAAGTCAATACATTAAAAGAAATTGAGATCAAAGGGTATGGCTGAAACAGTGCCACAGGGCAGTGCTGATCATGAGTAGACACATTTGCATGTGCGTTATCTTTTGGCTTTGGAAGGATGGCTTTGGGGACTAGAATCTTCCTCCACTGCCTGCGTGGGTGTGGGTGTGTTTGGCTAGTGTCCATAGCCAGTGCCTCCTCGGGGTGTGCACAAACCCTAATGTGACTAGCAGAGGGGCAATCTCTGGTTTGTGCAGTGGCAGGCTGGAGAGGCTGGCCTTCCTGACCTGCAAGAGAATTCTGGCCTGAATCTCTTTTGGGGGGGGGGGAATTACTCCCATTACAGGTTTTAGTCACACTTTAGAGGAAAGTTTTCCTCAGAGCCCAAGATGAACACTTTTTTCTTCTTCTTCACAGTATGACCAGTACAAAACCCCCATGGAGAACATTGGCCTCCAGGACTCTTTGCTGTCTCGATTTGATTTGCTTTTCATTGTCTTGGATCAAATGGATCCAGAACAGGACAGAGAGATCTCAGACCATGTCTTGAGAATGCACCGCTACAGGGCAGCTGGTGAACAGGATGGGGATGGTGAGTGACTCTGTTCCTCATGCCTTTTTCTTGGGTGGAGGACTCTTTGAAATGTTGTGCCAGGGAGGGAGAGCTGGTCTCTGCAGCTCAGGGGCCATCATTGCACTTGTCGAGGAACCTACGGCTGCCTCTTGGCACCTGCCAGTCAAGGTGGCATCTCTCAGGATTTCTCAGCAAGTCGTTAGTAAAAACTTGAGTTGCTACTCAGGGTAAAAAAAACACAACTGCCTACAGTGCAGACTTTGCACGCTGTGTATGTCCCTGGAGTCATTTGATCCGCGGTTGTAACTGCATGTGTCCAGAAGACGTCTCTGACTCTCTTAAGTGACTCTTCTTTTCTTTTCTCTTCCCAGCCATGCCTTTGGGCAGCACTGTCGAGCTGCTGGCCACCGAAGACCCCGCCGGTGCTGCTGAGGAGGATCAGGAGCTGCAGGTGTATGAGAAACATGATGACCTCCTGCATGGGCCCAAGAGGCGGAAGTAAGGGATTTCCTCCACCTTTTTTCTTTCTTGCCAATAGCTCAGTAATTAGTTTCCAACATTTCAAGAGGGTTGCAACATAGTTTTAAAGCTGTTCTTTTAAAAAAAAAAACATGAAAAAAACCTGAGTACTGGAAATCTCTTGCTGTCCATACTCTCACATTTCCTCCATTCACAAGGTAAGGAAATTGGTCCCCCCTCCCCTCCAGAAAAAGATCCTGAGAGTCATCCTGCTGGATCCGGCCAAGGGCCAGCTTTCAGTTTGCAGTGGTGTTGCACCCCATCCCTCCTAGGCAAAGTGTGAAGGCATCAGCCCTCCCCTGCTTGTCTGCAGTGCTGTTCTGTTGAACTCTCTATTGCTGGTTCCCAATCTTGGATCCCCTGAGATTCTCCTTCTGTAGGGGTTCAGACATATTCATGGCTGTTTTTGAGTTTGGATGAGGCAGCTCTAAATGATGTTGCATTGATTCCAAACCAGATTCCCAAGATGTCTCAGCCAGCACAATGTTCTCCTTCCCATGCTTCTTTTCCTGTTGGTTTTATCTTATATGATCAGTTGTAGCAGGCTAATTTTTCATTTCTCACTATTGGGACAGAAATACTCTAGCTTCTTGCATTTTATGAGCTTTTATGGTTTATTTGTCTTTAAGCATTTGCTTTAGTACTTCTTCAATAACCACACTCTTGATACAAGAAATCTTGTCCATATCCATTACTAGAGAGGTATCTGTTGGTGAGTGGCAGCCAAGTTTAAGTCGATTACTTGGTCATTTTATTACACAGAGAGAAGATAGTAAGTGTGGCATTCATGAGGAAATACATTCATTTTGCCAAGATGCTCAAGCCAGTCTTAACTGAAGAGGCAGCTGCCTTCATAGCACAGGAATATTCTTCGCTGCGCAGTCAGGACCAGATCAGCTCTGACATTGCAAGGGTAAGTAAGTAGTGAGCTGGGTTGTTTAGGAAGTATGGAGAGGGGGAAAGAAGCAAAGGGAAAGGACACTTTGATCAGTGTTTTTCTTTTTTCTTTTTTTAAATGCTGCACACTGCCCCCAAGAAAATAACACACTGTATTAGTCTGCCTGCTGACTGGATAGCTCAGTGGTTTATGTATTGGGCTGCTGAGCTAGAGGTTGGGATTTGGATTCCCCACTGTGCCTCCTACAAGTAGAGCCAGCCTGTGTGGGCTTGGGTAAGCTGCACAGTTCCGTGGTGACCCTGGAAGAAGGGAAGGGTAAATCACTTCCAAGTACTCTCTACCTGGAAAACTCTGAAAAGGGTCACCATAAGGCAGAATTGACTTGATGGCACATGATGATTATTTGTCTACATCGGCCATTCTCAGCCATGTCCATAAAAACAATGTGAAAGAAATGAAGGCTGACTCAGCATTGTGTAAGTCGCATAACAAGCCTTATATAAGGTGTGAAGGATGGTTTCCAGTCTCTGCCCTTCTTCCCCTGTTGAGAATGGCTGCGTGACATCTACAGTCCATTAACAGAACACTAGTGTCTTTCATATACTGGCCTTGTGCTGGCCTTAGATTCCAGCTGCAGGCAGCGTGCTAGGATCTGGAAGGGAGATAGTGGGGACAAGTCTACATAGTCAGGTGGTAGCAACTTGTGCCTTTCTGTGGATGGGAGAAATTATATGCACTTCTTTCATATTTTGGCCTTTTCAAGGCTGATCAGCTTAGCTTGTGATACTTGCTGGCTATGTAATGTCACAGGAGGTCTCGTAAAATGCGTAGAGCTGGTTTAAATGGTTTAAATGCATTTGCTGCAGCAGCTGGAATCAGCAGCTATTATAAGCCTGATGGTCTCCATTCTTTGTTATAAAAGAAATGCCCTGTAGGCTCACCACTTGATGTACTGCTATGTTTCTTTATTAAATGAGCACCCAAAACTGGAACAACCATCAATATCCAAGTTCCTCTTTTTTTTGATCCTTCAGCAGCTGAATAATGCTATTTTATTTTCCCCAGACTTCCCCTATAACTGCGCGTACCTTGGAGACATTGATCCGACTCTCAACTGCACATGCTAAAGCCAGGATGAGCAAAAACGTTGACAGACAAGACGCTGAAGCTGCTTTAGAGCTGGTTCAGTTTGCCTACTTCAAAAAGGTTTGGAGATAAATATAAGGTTGCCTGAGTTCAGAACCAAAAAAACTGTACACGCATGTAGAGGGAGAAAAGTTTAGACAGATGGTGGGAAGCAGTTGGCTTGCATCTTTGAATAATGTTCATGTCAGCCAACGTTCACCTGATCCATTGACGTTTCAAGCCTGCTATTTAGTGATTGCTGTATGCTGTCTCATCATGTTGCTCAGATCAACAGCGGCTGCCTATCCATTCTGTTACCACAGTGGTCTAGCAGATGCCCCGTTAAGCTCACAGCCGCCCTCCGATTTGTGTCTGCTAGCAGCTTAGATACTGCCTTCTGCTGCTGGATATAATAGATAGCTGTCGTGAGTTATTTAGCTGGTGTCTCTTGCAGCAGAGTTAAGATTCAGGAATTCAGTTTCCCATGGTGTCTTGGAGGACAAGAGTCAGCTGATGTAGCACAGTCCCAGCCCCCCCCCCCCCAAAGAAGGAAATGTCAACCTCATCCAAATACTTTCCACTTAGAAAGGGTTGCTTTAAGTCAGAATTGACTTGACTGTATCACTTGACACTTGTTTCGAACAGACCCACGTTTGGCATTTGATTACCTATTTCCTCCAATTTGGATAGTTGTTTTTTTAATCTGTTTTTAATTCTCTCTTTAATGACTTGATATGGTTGGCAAAGTTGAGACTCCTCAGTCCTCATCCCTAATACTAGATATTTTATGAATTTTTAAAATAAAAACCATAGAGATCCTTACAAGCCCTACTGTTTGCATCTGTCAGTCGTGAGAATACCAATTAATATTCCGATTTCAAGTTTTTAACCAGTAACTAGTCCATAAGAGGACCTCTCCTCTTATCTCATGACTGTTAACCTTGCTTGGCTGTCTATGGGGAGAAAGTTCATTAAAAGCCTTTTGCAAATCCAAATAAACTGTGTCGATTAGAATACCCTGATTCCAATGAAAGATGATGAATAGCAGTCTAGTGAGACATGGCTTTGAAAAAAACATTCTTATTCTCCTCCAGCAAATCCTATCCATCCCCTGTGCTTGATCGTTTTATTCTTAATACTTTTCACCATTTATCAGAACAGACATCAAACTATCCAGCCTATAGTTCCCTGGATTCTGCGGGATCTTGTTCTGAAAAATAGTCCACTTTCCATTCGTCTGGTGCAGAAGGCAATATTTCCAGTGCACTTTGTAGTTTTGATGGAAGAACAATCATTTCACTTTCAAGTCCTATAAGCGCTTTTCTGTAAATGACACCCCAGGTCATTGTCAGCAATTTAAATCCTGGCGCCAACAGAGAGGTTGTAATATTTGCACCTGCAAGGATGACTGTTTGCTTCCCTAGCAGATGTCCCTTGGCTTTTTGAAAGAGCTCGGATTGTACCTCTCTTCAGGCATATTTAGAGGGTATCAATCTGCACTGTTATCAAATAAGACGTACTTCATGGATTCTGGTGGCTAGTCAACTGAGTAGTTACTGATTACTCGGTAAGGTAATCCATTCACCATTGCTTCAAGTGTAAGGACCCCTTACAGTGCACAAATTGCCATGTTGCTTTGTTTCATTGTGCATGAAAAGAACATACACAAACATTCTGTTTCATCAACTGCATTATGCTTTTGCCAGCGCATTCATACACAGTAGGACCCCAGTGTCCACACAATCAGTATCTGTGCTTTCACTTATCCTCACTCTGAAAATACTGTATTAAAAGACAAGAATCAATGGAAAAATATTTTCACATGTATTACCAGAACCAGCCACTAGAAGGAGCCAGAGACCATGCTATGAATATTAACGAAAAATATATAGCATGGTCTCCCATGCCCTCTAGTGGCCAGTTCTGGTAATGCATGTGAAAATAATCTTTTTCTGGGTTTCTTTTTCCCTTTTACCAAGTTATATACTGTATGTATATAGTATTCATTATTATCCTGTTTTCGGTATCTGCGGTGAAACTTGGAACCAATCCCCAGTAGATATGGGGGTCCTACTATACAAACTGCCTTTGAGACTCCAGTGAGCATTAAAGCTAAGGCAGGAGACTTTTTTTGTGCCAGTTGTGTTTTCTGAAACTCAGTTACTTCTTTGGCTTCTGGGGAAATGGCTGATTAGTAGCATTACAGATTTGTTCCTTTATATCAAAGGTTCTGGAAAAAGAGAAGAAGCGGAAGAAGCAGGCTGACGAGGATACAGACGTGGAAACAGATGGTGAAATTCCCCAAGAAAATGAAAAAAGACAAAAAAAGAGGTAGATGAAGGGGAATAGATGTAAGAAGAATCGTGGTCTTGCTCCATAGGCAGAGATGGCAAACCACATGCTTATCGTCGTTCCAAGTGTTACTGCTTTGTTATATCTTTGTCTTTGCTGAAAGCTAGTTTCTCTCAGTCAGTTATACAGTGGTGCCTCGCTTGACAGTGTTAATTCGTTACCGTGAAATCGCTGTAGAGCGAAAATGTTGTAAAGCGAAATAAAAAAGCCCATTGAAATGTATTTAAACCCGTTCAATGCATTCCAGTGGGCTGAAAACTCACCGTCCAGCGAAGATCCTCCATAGGGCGGCTATTTTCGGTGCTTGTGCATCGAGGAATCCGTCCCTAAGCACAGCGGGGGGCCATTTTCTTCAGCCAGCGGCCATTTTGAAACCCGACGATCAGCTGTTTTTAATCGTCGTAAAGCGAAAATCAGTTCCCGAAGCAGGGAACTGATCATCGCAAAGTGGAAAACCCCCATTCAAACCATAGTTTTGCGATCGCAAAAACATCGTCGTGAAGCGGAGTCATCATTAAACGGGGTAATCGTAAAGCGGAGCACGGCTATATAATTTCATTCAAGAAGCTGCTCACACTACCAGGATCCCGTTGTGTTTTGCAGACTTGACTTCAGTTGGCGTCAATTGAAATGTATTGTGTTGAATTATTTTGGAAAGGAGAAGGATCTGGGAGAGGATTTGCTCAATCTTTGACTCTCTCCCTCTGCTTCCTTTTTTCCCAGTCTCTCATTAAAGAGAAGAACAGAACAGAGACTGAAACAATTAGTTGTTTCCTACAAAGTTACTTCACTGTATTGTGCATTTTGCATCATCAGTGTTGACCAGCTTTGTGGCGTTTTTCTAGCCAAACACATTTTTAGCATAGCATAACAGATGTTATCAGCCTCTCCATTTTATGTTTACTAACACTTTGTGGACTGTGGGTTTCCCCCCCTCTCTGTCTGTAGAAGGAAGTCACACGCCGGTGATCAGGAGGAGCCTATGGATGGGGAAGCGTACGATCCCTACGACTTTAGTGGCACCGAAGAGGAAATGCCAGAAGGTGAGTAGGTTCCCCTCCCCTTTCCCTCTTAGGCTTGTAGGTGAATGGGTCCGAGCAGGGTAATGCAGGCAAGCCTCTCCTGGCTAAGGCAGCGTCGAGTCTGCCCCCAGTTTGTAAGAGAATGAACTGCAACTTCCCATTTGGCAACCCAGATCTTTTACGTTTGCCGGAAAGGTGATGCCTTTTAGGAATGCTGTTAAATGCTAACAGAACCTCAGTTGATGGAACAGACATCGCTAGAGGACTTGAAAGCTTGGCCTTCTGAACTATGAGGAGCATTCAGCTGCTTTTTAAAAATATTTACCATTCCCCAAATTTTAACAGTTGCACTATACATAAACTGACTTGATATCGATTATATGAGTTACATGCAAGTCATTTGGTAGAATTTAGTGAACCATTGTGTGACTGAAGTAAGATACAGAGGAGCAGGAAAAAGTTTGCTGTGATAGCAACTGGATTCATAAAGAACAAAAGGCATCTTAACAGTGAATCCCTGGGCGTGTCTACTATATTAAGTAAATCTCACTGAATTTGATGGGGTGATTCAAAAGTAGGAGGTATAGGACCATAAGTCCTAATATTTAGAGGCTAAAGTAATTACTTTCATGTACTCATTATTTGCGAGGGGATGTCCTGGGTTTTTTACATATAAAATTGCAGTGAACTCATTGTCTTGAAGTATACCTTGTTGCTATTTTATAATTGGTATTGTATTATCTGTCGTTTATATGTGTTGGTTGTTAACTGCCCGGAGAGAGTGTGTGTCACACTGTTGGCTGGTATACAAGTTAAATAAATAAATAAAGTAATTCTGTATTTTGTGGGTGGGGAGTTTAAGCATATTGTGCATTTGAGTTCTAAGCCAGTGCTGCCTTACACCATCACACTGGCTGTTTCTTTTCTTTATAGATGGATACAATACAAAAAGGAATAGTAAAGCCAGTTGTACATGAAATCTGTCTTTTTCTTTGATAATTTCTAGTCCAGGCGCACACTCCCAAGCCTTCAGAACCTTCAGGCACTGGGGCGCCTACATCCACATTATCAGAGCCCAGGTGAGTACATGGAAAGAACTATCATAGGATGACCTTTATTTGGTTTTCAGATTTGATTTCTTGAAGACATATGAAGAATTCTAGTTATATCTGCCTACACAGTATATAAGTTGGCTGCATCTGTTTTAGTCCTTTGTGAAGTTCCTCGTGACAGACCAAATAAAAGGTGGCGCAGTGGCTAAACCGCTGTACTGCAGCCAAATCTGTGCTCACGACCCGGGGTTCAATCCCAGGTAGCCAGCTCAAGGTTGACTCAGCCTTCTATCCTTCCGAGGTCAGTAAAATGAGTACCCAGCTTGCTGGGGAGGCAATGTGTAGCCTGCATCATTAACTTGTAAACCACCCAGAGAGTGCTTGAAGCGCTATGGGGCGGTACATAAGCAGCACACTTTGCTTTTTGCTTTTAACGCAGGCAGGCACAAACGGCTGAGTGGGCGCCCACGGGCGGGGCAGGGCACTGACAGCCGCACACCTGTTGCCGTGATCAACCAGCAGGGATGACCTCTGTTCCTTAATGATGAAAAGCATGTAAAGAGCAGGCTTACTGTTTTGAAGAGCTGTCGAACTGCACATGAGTACTACTTTAAAACGGTCTAATGAAACTACAGTACTATGTTTTGGGCCAAGTCTGTCTCACGCTGAGTTGTTCTCGTGTGGGAATGCTAGGAACACAGAATATGCGCTGTTTGCAGTTCCACAGGGAAAACTTCAGTTCCTTCTTGCAGGCTTAAATGACCAGTGGCTTAAATAAAAGGACTTCTTTCCCTTTGAGGGTTGCCAGAAGAGAGAGCAGGAAAATATTTGCACAGGTTAGGGATCAGCTTCCAGTTGGCACAGATAACACTAGCCTACAGTAGCTGGGCAAGCAGTCTGACCCTGCAGCTTTGCTTTCTTTGTTTCTCTTTTAAAGAAGCAAGATACTGTGTGTGTGTGTGTGTTCTGTTAGAAAGTAAACTTGATATTCATGTAGTTATAGACAAAGTGATGGGGAAACATATTTTTTAAAGAAACAGATTGGGCCCAGTCTGGTCTGGGGTTTTTAAAAGTGTTTTTCTGTTTTCTGACTTAAAAATCAAACCAAGGAATAGATGCTGATTGATACAGTGGGAGCCTGTCCTCTCAAATCCTTGTAAAGCCCCATATACTACATAGATGGCTGTGTACACAGAGCCATCTATGTAGTACAGTATATTTTAACAGAGCTAAATAACACTGACATTAAATAATGATGCTGGCTAATTGTTACTCAAAAATATTTTCCTCCTGCACACACAGGCTTAAAGCGTTCAAGAGTGCCCTTTTTGAGGTTTTCAAAGCAGCCCATGCACAGTCCGTGGGTCTGAAAAGTCTGATGGAGTCCATCAACCGGGACAATCCAAGCCCTTTCTCGTCTAATGAAGTCAAGGCGGCGTTGGAGAAGATGCAAGACGACAACCAGATCATGATGTCAGATGACATAGTTTTCCTGATTTGAATTGATACTTGGAGGTTCCTTTGACTGCTTAGTGTGGTGGCCCCTTCAGCACCTCTGCAGGGAGACCATCCAAAAAGCCTTATGTGGCTAAACTTAAGTCCCTCTGAATCAGAAGTATTTTGATGTCAGCTTGGGGGCATCACGGTGAGATATAACCTACTATCAAGGTTGAGAAATACATTGGTGTTTTGTTTTGCCTTTCCCCCCTGTTATCAAGGAACATTTTGTTCTTTTGGAATAGCAAAAAATCCACTGTTATATAATTTCATTCGGTATGTCATCAGTAAATTATGGAGAAAATGAAAGAAACAAATTCAGAACTCGCAAAACTAAACTGTCTTAATTATAAAATTTCACATAATGCAGCAGTGCAGTTCTACATTTTTATATTTACTCTTTTAACTTTCCTGTGGGTTAAAGCCTACATTATAGATCTGTGTTTTGGTGCACAAATTTCATTTATGATGATCAAAATTAAACAGTCTTTTTAGAGTATATTTGCAGCTAGATTTGATGCTACAGGTATTATGGTCAGAAGCTGCTCATTATATGTCTGTAGCCATACATGCCTCCTTAGCATTTGTATATGTCTACAACTTTGCCATTTTGAACCATGGCTCTTCAGCAAAGTTTTGTGCAAATCAATTTGATGCTATAGAATCTAAAGAATGGCAAGATCACTCACTGTTGTGCAGGGTGAGTCAGTTAGGTTTAACTAGGAAATCTTGTCTCAGTTGTATTCTGTCTCCTATTCTGCATGAAGACTATAGGGGGAGTGGAGAAGAAGCATTCGTAAAAATGCTAAGAGCTCTTCTAAATGGTAAATTAACAAAACTTTTATTTCTACTCATATATACATTCCACAGTACAGAATAAAAATTGTTTTCAACCACATTGACTGCCGTTATAAATCCAAAACTGTGAATTGTACCTCTGGTCCAGCAGCATCCAGTCGACAGTTCTTAAGAGAGGGGAGCAGGAGTTTTTAGGAATTCTTTGGGAGTAGTCCAGGACGGTTTGGGTGGCATGTAATAATACCTTTCAAGAGGTTTTACAGATTGTAATCCTCCAGAATAGTAATGCAGTCTTTCAGTCATGATTGAAATTCATCTACAACATGATGAATAACAAACTGTAAAATGTGAACTTGAGCAGAGTAGTTGCTCTTATATCTGGAAAAACGTGAACTGCAGAATTTGGTAGGTTGAACTAGAATCAATTGCAAAGCTTGTATTTTGCTGCTGTAAGGCAGGGTGGATCACTTATGGGCCATGGCCTACTTATGGTCCCAGTGCCCCACACTTTCCAATTAAAAAAAATCATTTTGGGAAAAAAAAGGCTCAGAAAGTCTTCCTTGTGGCCTTCAAGAACTATGAAGCAATTTTGCCATGCTTTGAGGTGCACCAGGCATTCTCGAAGCTTGGGTGGATAGCAGCATTTTTAACTATATAAAATGAAAAGCCATGTACACTCTCTAGTTAAATATATATATATTGCAAAAAAGCTATGGTAACAATTAGAGATGGGCACGAACCACGAGCTTGTTTATTAGCCAAACAGGTGGGTGTTCGGCACTTCCTAGCCCTACCTCTTCCAGCGGGCACCCAGTCAGAGGCAGCACGTGGAGGAGGTGGGGCAGGGAAGCGCCGAACACCGATTCGGCCAATAAATGAACCGCCAAACCAGTAGTTCGTGTCCATCTCTAGAAGTCCTTGCAGTATAGAAACAATTTATTATTTATTTCATTGTATCGAAGCATTGCACAATTCAAAACTGTGGACACACATGCAAAATCAAGAACCAGTTAAAATGTCAAGACAATGAGAGTAGTTTTGACCAGAAGTGACCAGAGCTTGAGAGGTGTGCAGAAACCTTCCCCCGACTTCAGCTGTTGTCCAGAAAGCAGGTGTCCATGAAGTGGATGGGTTGGGTGAAGTGAAGGCTTGGCCATCTGCACCCGACTGCCCAGGGGGCGTCCTAGTGTACTCACGATGCTTTCCTGCTCTTTGAGGTGGTGGCGATGGCTCCTCTGTTTCCCACTGTACCGTCAGTAAAATATGTAGAGGGGCCTTTTTGGCTGTACCCATCTCCTTTTATCCTTGTCCTTTCACCAATGTGGTTCTTGAGCTGCCCTGAAAAGGAAAAATGGCGACCTTGCATTTTTCTAGGGAAAATATTCAGCAACCAATAAGCTTGCTTCAGTTTCTAATCATTGCCCTTCCTGATGTCAGGACTGTAACTGCTAAGTCTGTTTCTTCTGGAAACTTAACTGCCATTTCATATCCAGAGTTTTATAAATGAACAAATGCACTGTATTTTTCAGCATCAATTTTTTTTCAGAGCTAATAATTAAAGGATTGAAGTGGAGCAGTAATTGTTTAGCTTTATTTAATTTTTGTTTTCATTTGTTTTTCATTTTCCTCTTGACCTTTTTTCCTTTCTCTTCAAATTATTGAAGAAACTTAGTTATCCAGTAAAGACTGATATTTTTTGAGATTTTTAATATATATTTTTTTCTTCTTTCACCTAGAGCCTTTATTTAGAAAATACTTGACTCATTTTATTGGTGCTCCAAATAAGCCTGATATAAATAAGACTATATTATAATATATAATATAATATAACTATATTATATATAATAAGACTATATTACCACCCAAAATTTTCTTTATAATAAACTCCCATTTTGCTTTTTGATTTCAACTTATCAAGTATATTATTGCAGAAGCTGTTCAGCCTTCATTAATTCATCATATGAAATAACGATTTTGAACAACTCGTATATTACACAAACCAATTAAAATATTTTAATCATGTATTACAAATGCTATACTTCTACTCTAACTTTAGATGAATGAGTTAAAAAGGATTTGGATAAATTAAAAGCCACCAAGCCTCCTTCATTAGAAGGAGATAAAATACATTGATAATAAAGCAGTTTTAGACGAGGTAGCTGTTAGTCTTGCTGCAAGTGTGTCAAGCAAAAACGGGAAAAAGTGTTGTGGCAACTTAAAGACTATTATATTTTAATGTAAATTTTTGTGGACCTTTTTCAGTGTGCTAAGAAGGTCCATGAAATCTTGCATTAAAGTATAATAGTCTTTAAAGTGCCGCAGTGCTTTTATCTTTTTATTTTTGGCTTTGCCTGATACGTTAATAAATAAATTATATAATTAAACAGTCCTGTAGAGGGCGACAGAGTTCCTCAGTAAAAATGAGTTAAGGCAGCAACAGTTTTCATTAGGAAAAGGAGTTTGAGATCATAGTAATTAAAGCAGTAGCTGTGGTGGTGAGTGGAGCTTCTGGGTCAAGGAACCACCACCACATAAGTCCTGTCAGTTTGTTTTGACAGATTGGAAGATGTGAGCATGGGCGTTTCTGTATGTGAAACAAGGCAAACATATAATACACCAGGTTAGTGCAGTTTCCAGTTAAGGGAACACGTGTCTTGTGGTGGTTGTGGGTTTTTCGGGCTCTTTGGCCGTGTTCTGAAGGTTGTTCTTCCTCACGTTTCGCCAGTTTCTGTGGCCGGCATCTTCGGAGGACAGCACTCTGTGCTCTGGTGTAGTTTGTGGGATAGTTGAGCATTTATAGCTGTGGGATCAGCTTTTTGTCCTTTTCAGGAGATTGGGTGAGAACACTGTCTTGTTTATCGTCTCGCTGGTGGGGCAGCCACAGTAGTGGGAAGGTCTGCCCATGTCCCTGTGGAAGGTCTTTTATTTACAGACACATTTTCTGCTCTGCAGGTGGACCTGCCTCTGTAGTTGGGTGAGGTCTCAGAGCTCGGAAATGTTTCTGTTTCCACCTGTAATTCCTATAGTCTCCTGGGTTCAGGAATGCTGTGAATGAAAGCTCCCAAATATCTTTCATGCTCCAGGGTGAAAGGGATCCCTGTCCAGCCTTGGAACCTGACGTTAAATTACAATGAAGATTAATATTTCTGGGTGATAGCCTAATCATTTATCCCTGGCAGATTTGGGCAACAGGATTTCAATCAACATTTCTATTCAGTACACCACTTTTTTTCTTGCCTGGTGCTAGGGATTGTTGGGATTTGCATCCAGATCTCTTATTTTCATCCAGGGTCTCCTTGACTCTTTTTGAAATCTACTTGTCTTTAAGAATCTACTCCACGTTTCTTTCCTCCCTCTGCCTTTGAAGCCACTGTAGGAACATGTCTCTAACTTCCCTCCATGTCATGTTTATCTGCAGTCCTCTGTTCCTTCTTTACAGTTTTTGCTTCATCCCTCTGATTTCTTTGCCTCTCCTTTGTGAATCCCCTTTCCTGTTCTTTAGGTACTAATCTTTCTTTCCTGATTTGGCCATCGGATAGATGTGGGGTGAAAGTGGACAGCCAGCTCCACTGTAAATGGGAAATACGAAATTATGTACAAAGCAATATAAAAATAAATCAAGGGGCTTGGGAACATTGGATAAGTTTGGAAATCGATTTCGTTCAAAGTCAGTAAAAGGATTGGGCAGAATTTCAACCAGATGTAGGGAATTTGCATGAAAATCAATATTTAACAGGGAACTTGGAAGGGCACAAATGCTCCATAGATTCTTCACAGATTTTCTGCACCTTCATACCAGCCTTTCTATTGTCTTTAAGATTCTCTGTGGAGGCAATTCCATATAGATCCATTCACTACTCAGCCACAGGGCTTGATCAGAGGGGCACATGTCCCACTATTTGGTTTCCTGCTGTAATGGGTTGGTTCACTCTTTTCTTCCTGGCAGTCAGATAATCTGATTGCTAGAGCAAATCAATCCATTCCCAGAGTGTCCCTACCTGCACCTTTCTGAATCCCTCTCTGGGGCTTCTATTTTTTATTTTATTTTTTTTGAACAGGTAGGTTCAGTCTACTTTGGCCTGTTCCAGCATGTGTGATCACTGAGTATGGACAAAGATGCAAGCCTTAAGCTATCAAGGCTCCTTTCTCTGTCATTTTCTGCTGTCATGAAGTGACTTAATAAATAAGCCACTTCAGAGTATTGGCAAATTGAACACTTCCCCTGCTTCTTGGCGGGGTATGTGTACAAGGGAAATGAAATTATTTTTCTACACTGCTAGACTATTATTGATGCACTGCATCACTTGGATTAATTTCTGGAAAAAAATTATTTGCCTTGTCTGAGGTGCTGATTGATCAACCACTCTTTCAGCTGTGGGCAGACTCTCGATCAGCACTTCAGGAAAGGGAATTTTTTCCCTATTTAATTTAAGTGATGCTGTACATCAGTGATGATCTAGTAGAGTCAATTTTTTTTAATAATTTCACTTCCCCTGCCTCTCTTCCAAGGAACAGTGGAAGTGTTCAGTTTGCCAATCTCCTGAAGTGGCTTGGTTATTAAGACATTTCACAATATCAGAAATTGACAGTGGAAGGAGCCAGACTAAACAGAGTCACTTTAGGTCCATTTGCCATTTGAATGCAAAGATTGCACTAAATGGCTTTTCCCCCCACCTGACCTCAAGTGATCCTATTTAAACCCCAACAGTCCACTCCAAAAGGGCCAGTGTAGATGAGCCCACAGTTACAGGTAAGTAACCCCTGAATCCAGAATGAGGTTGAATCTTTCAAAAACAGAAGAATATGATGGAAGGGGCCAGAAAAAATGAGTTATTATCAGAGTAATGTGATTCAGGTGTTTTTAAAGCATGTAGAGTGCACACTCAGTGTGGGGAACATGCTACCTGCTCCCCCCCCCCACTCTGTTGAAGGGACACGGAAGTAGGGTCACTGATCCTAACAAAACTCAGAAGACAATATTCATCAAGGCCCTATCTTTGTCTGTGGATATACTGCTCATATTGCAGACTGTGTTAACCTGGATGCGTACCTATTGGAGAGCTGCTTTGGAAGGCATAATACATGTGGGGAGTACGGCAATGGCAGTTGAACTTTGAAGCACAGATTCTGTTTTCATGAAGCATTTGCTAGGGGGCAGATCACAGGGAGCAAGCCCTGGATATTTTGTGTCACACACTGTCTTCACTGAGTCCTGAATGGCGCCTGCCACTATCACCTAGAGCAGTGGCCCCTGACCTTTTTAACTCCATGGACCAGTTGGGGAAGGCGGGGCACCCCCCACACTCATGCGCATGCGCGAAGAAGAGGGTGCTCTCTCTTGTGGGTGCGCGCACACTTGCATGCACGTGCGAAGGAACAGGTGGTTTTGTGAGTGCACACACTCGTGCGCCGTACCTATTGGAGAGCTGCTTTGGAAGGCATAATACATGTGGGGAGTACGGCAATGGCAGTTGAACTTTGAAGCACAGATTCTGTTTTCATGAA